GCTGTATTTACCAGACATTTTTGACTAGAGATCTATATCATTTCAAACAAGAGAAATATAGATTTACATCCTGCTTTTCCACTAGATTTGGTACTTGTTTCCTGTAGGCCTTTTTGAGTCTTTGTAGTAGTCACAAGGTATTCAGGCAGTACTAATTTTGTGCAATGAAATACAGGGAAATTTTGTCTGGACAGTTTATTTTATTTTATTTCAATATCTAACTGATTGGGACTATCAACTATAAAACTTTAGACAATTAAACAGAATTGGCCATATCGAAACACAACTATTTTCTTTATTAACAGTGTTAAGGTGAGTTTTAGGTTAATTTTGTTGTTTCTGTTAACACCTGATGCTTCCTCTAACCTTTATTTATTTTTCTTTCTTTTTTCTCCCATTTATTTCCATTTCAACTGGAAATGACCCGTATCTTAGATAAACAACATAAAGAGGCAAAATTTTCATTTTAGTAGTACTTCATACAACATAGTTCTTCCATTTCAATCATGAAAACAACATAAATATTTATAGCTGTCTATTTATTTCAAAATTACAGAAATTTCTTAGAAACGGATGAAAAAGAGAAGCTTCAAGCATAAAATTTCTTATATTAGCCTACAACCTGAATACCTAGTGACTACAAAGAGGCCTTCAGGAAACAAGTGCCTAGTCCTTGGACCGGAAAATATGCTTCAAGCTGTGCAGGTTCAAGATTCCTTGATAAAGAAGGCTAATGTCACTGTCCTGAACATTAAACAATTTACCTTCATCTCACCCCTATTATTCAACCACCAGCATTAAAATGCCCCATACAAACTCTCTTATTCCTCATCATTCACCATAGAGAAATGCTAGTCAGTTGTAAATGTTTACAAAAATAGAAGTAAATCAGAAGACAAGGGGTATGACCCACCCCGAGGAACTGCCCCACCCCAGCCAAGTCAGATGTTAGCTATACATCTATTACTAGCTAAACACTATGAAATGTGTTAACCATTGGAAACCAGACAATAATCTGGATAAGTCGAGAATTGAGTTTCCTAACACTCATTATCGCTGTATTTATTGTGGTTTAACGCGAGTTATCATCTGGTATTCATACACCATTCTATCGCACAATTCCCTACACATTAACAATTTTTGAACGAAAGGTTAAAATCATGTACACGTTACATTAGAAGAAACACGATGCAGGTGTGAGTTTGGTTTCGTTTTGACGTGATTAGGTCCAGATTCATACAGATTAGTTGAAATGACGCTGTATCAGTTGGTAGAGTACCTGTACATAATTTAGCCAGCTATACAGATAGCTTAAATTGAGCTATATCAGCAGGTATAACAAATATTTAGACCACTATACAGATAGCTGGTAAAGTAAATATTTACACAATTATACAGATAGCTGACATGGAGATGTATCAGCTGGTAAAGAAAATATTGAGATGACTATACAGATAGCTTATATAACGCATTATCAGCTGGTATCGTAAATATTTAGATGACAATACTGATAGCTGAAATTGAGTTCTATCAGCTGGTAAAGTAAATATTTTGACCACTGTACAGATAGCTTAAATAGCTCATTATCAGCTAGTATGATAAATATTAACATGACAATACAGATAGCTTAGACTGAGTTCTATCAACTGGTAAAGTAAATATGTTGACCACAGTACAGATAGCTGAAATTGGGCATTATCAGCTGGTAGAGTAAATATTTTGACCACTGTACAGATAGCTGAAATTGGGCACTCTCAGCTGGTAGAGTAAATATTTTGACCACTGTACAGATAGCTGAAATTGAGTACTATCAGCTGGTAAAGTAAATATTTTGACCACTGTACAGATAGCTGAAATTAGGCACTATCAGCTGGTAGAGTAAATATTTTGACCACTGTACAGATAGCTGAAATTGAGTACTATCAGCTGGTAAAGTAAATATTTTGACCACTGTACAGATAGCTGAAATTGAGTACTATCAGCTGGTAAAGTAAATATTTTGACCACTGTACAGATAGCTGAAATTGAGTACTATCAACTGGTAAAGTAAATAGTTTGACTACTATACAGATAGCAGAAATTGAGCACTATCAGCTGGTAAAGTAAATAGTTTGACTACTATACAGATAGCTGAAATTGAGTTCTATGAGCTGGTAAAGTAAATAGTTTGACTACTATACAGATAGCAGAAATTGAGCTATATAAGCTAGTATATTACATATTCAGACTACTATACAGATAGCTGAAACAGATCTGTATCAGCATTGTATCAGCATTTAAAGCAACGTTTTGTGCATCTATACAGATAACTGAATTTGAGCTGTATCAACAACTAGTAATATAAATATGTATCATATTACAATATGCACATCGTATTGTGTGGTCGTGTATCGATACTTGATGTTACCAGGCATCCTAGACAAACATTTATACACATATAACAAAACAACATCAAAATGCAAATGTTCAATTCATGAATGTAAATGTGGCAACATGACGTCAGTTGTTTTAAACCACTCTGCAACAGAACTAATATATTATAATAATAATAGTAATATTTTGATTACACGACCCAGGGTTCACAAAGACTCGGCGATAATTTCCCTTGTGTATCAATTATAACAATTTTAACTTGGAACTCTTCCAACCTCACTTGTCTTAGTTCTTACAGGTGCTTTTCTATCGTAGAATTATTATATTTTACTTAACACCTAGAGGAAACTAGATAAAGATAAGTCTCCTTTATTTCCAGGTGGTGTAAACAGTAATGGACAGAATAAGATCAAATTGTTTGTTTTAAATCATATTTGTATTTGAAGTAAAGTGGTCTGCTCATTGTTATGTTTTCAATTGGACCAAAAATGACCTAACTTGAATATAACTGAAAAAAACTCTCTTGTTTATTTTGTTTATACTTCAATTGTTGAATCTTGTTCATACTCAGCAACTGCCTTACTTGCCCATATGCAAATTGTCCAAAAATGGAAAGCAAGAATATGGTTCCAAAACTATCTATCTTGATATTGACAGTCTTGTTCATCAGAATATTTTCCTGGTAAAATTAAACTTTACTACAGGCCTCCCATCTTCATTTGCCCATCAGGACCAGAAACGCAGGGTGTAGACTCAATTTATTTAATTTAATGTCTAGAAAAAATTTCTGGGAGAGAGATTTAAGAGATTGTAAAACATTGTTGAAGTCATATAATTATTTACTAGAGGACAATTAGCTGATAGTTTAGATTAATTAGGGGATAATTACTAATAATATTAATTACAGGCAATTACCACAATATAATTATCAACACTAAGCTGCTTCAACTATTATTGATAAATGTCATCCAGTTAGAGACAAAAAAACTATTGTTTCTTTAATCATTCAAGAAATATACCCAGCAACATTGAATGTGTGAACTCTGCAAAGGGATTGTGATTAGACAAACTTAGTCACAGATCAGATCAGATGCTCTGAAATATTCAACATGCCCTGTGTAGCAAACACAATTCAGCACAATACCTATTTTATCAGAGCTTATTAAAAATAGTAACAATTTCCTTTCATAAAAGTACACTGGCACAGATAAAAGGGCTGTTTTTTTAATATTATAGAGTAAGAGCTAAGGGGTGGCTGAAAGTTATATTTTTCATAGCTTTATTGAATATCATATAATTGCATCATTAGACTGTTTGAGACAGATAATTCCTGATCAAGATAGTATGTTATGGAGGGGGAGGGGGTATTCCTTATCAGTCGACAATCGAACTTCTTTCCTAGAACTGTGTCAGTAGGTAGACTATAATAACAAGACTCTGTAGACAGTTACAGACTGATCAATAAAAATAATCAACTTACAAATGTCAACACAATATGCTAATAGTTGGGAAAATAATTGTCTTCTTTTGCTAGAAGAAATTCCATCTTTTTGAGGTTTGATATAAAGTAAGGGATCCTTAAACCTGACAAGAAAAATCCCCAGCAAGATGCATGATGCCATGTGGATCAGTGGCTCTCCTGAACCACTAACCTTTTTTATACTTGGCTGAGATTTTACTCGTACTTGAAACAGCTATTTCAGAAACATTACTGATCGTATTAAAGAAACAACGACATGTACATCAATTTATTCCTTGTACACCATTTTGCTTGTGATTTTTACCTTTCCTTGGTGTTAAAGTAGAATGAGAAACGTTTTGTTATCCTGAGGCCAGGTAACAACACTGTCAAGGTTGCCCTCACTTGAAAACCCCATTTGATCAGTGTCCTTTTATCAACTAAATAAACTTTTCTGTTCTATTGTAAAAGCCTGACATCAATCTTTAATTTTTATAATGGTTTCAACATATGTCTCGAATTCATTTTGCATATTATAGGTGGAGTAATCAAATGACAGTATCACATGTAGAAATATAGACAGCAAGGGAGTGACAAGGGTTTTCAATGGAACAATTGTACAGTTTCACTTAGATAAGAAGGATTGTGTAGGAATTCATAGTTAATGTAGTAGGAGAAATGAAACGAGTGAAATGGGTTTATAGCAGAACACCATCAGTCCATTATCATCAAAGTCTATGGATATTTCAATTCTAATTTCCATAAACCTTAAATTAAAGTGTTTTCTCATTGGCTGAAATGATGCAATTTTGTGTATGCATAAGTGAACACTGATATAGATAGAAGTGATCTCTTTATTGATATGTCAAAAGCAAAGTTCATCATATGAAGGTGTTAGGCATAGAAAATGGGGCTGTGGGGGTCCAATAGATACATTTTTAAGCAGCTATCAGAAAAATCTTAGACAAAACAATAATATAATATAATATAAAATGTGGGACTTAAAAACTTTTCAAAATTTTCAGCTCTTACTGTATTATCTAGATCTTGCTTCTGAACAAAATCATGGAAACAATGAAGAAAGCATAAAGAAAAAGTTTGCCTTACAGATAGTTTCAATTTTCTGCTCCTTCATCAATGACCAATGACATAAAACAGAGTTGCCTACCTTTGACAGACGTTAATGAGTGTATTAGTAGTATCCTGGTTCTGTTTCATGTACGATGCCAGACCGATTCCTTCACGTTGAAGAACCAGACGCTGTTCTTTCAGAGAATTTTCTGTACCTCGATCAAATATTAACTGATTCTGCATAGATAACTGAAAATATAAAAAACAAGATTTAAAAATCTTACACCAGGATAATGCCATCCAGTCATGCAGTGTGCAATGAGGGAAAGTTTGTCAAGATGAAGAAAAAGTTGGGTTTGCATCTTTTAGATGCATTTTCATACAGTTTGAAAACTTAAAATTGGAAACAGAAATAAGTTATCCAAAAAGTTTTTATTCAATTTCAATTCAAGTATTTGTAACTTCGTATAAATGTGTATAGTCTTCACAGCAACAGACAATACATACTGTTAAATATTATAAATATAAAGGGGAGTAACTACAATGTAGAGTATAATACATACAATTCTTTATTTGAGAGGTAGAAACAATTCTTACTTCTGAATGTAGAATTCAATTGTAAGCATTCAATAGACAAAGACAACCTCTGAGTTAGATTCAGCTAGTTAAAAGTAAAAGAATTTGCCTCTGTATTAATGCCAGCTGGTTGATCAATTACAGTTTTTAGAGAAAGTCGGTTGGAAGTTATAGAACTTACCTCTGGTTTGCTAAATGCTAGTTCTATGCAACTTACCTTATGCTCAGGGCCACCTCACAGCAATTGAAGCATGGATAAATCATAAAAATCTTTCTAACTAATACTAACATGCCACGGTCTGGGAGATTTTGGCTTCAGTGAGCTATGGACTAAAGTATGTCAGCACTCAAAGGGATATTAAGATCAACAGTAGATTGATGACTTATCTCCAAATTAGGCTCAATAGGTTGATGACCTACCACTTAATAAGGGTCATTTTGTTGGAAGCTGTAGAACGTACCTCCATATTGGGGTAAGTGGGTTGATAACTTACCTGTGAACTAAGGTTGGCTTATTGCAAGTTGTATGCAACCTACCTCTATATTAGGGCCAAAAGGTTTATAACTAACCTCTGGATTGGCTGGTTGATAATTTACCTCTATTTTAAAGCCAGAAGGTGGATAACTTACCTCTGAATTGGGGTCGGCTGGTTGGAAGTTATAGAACTTACCTCTGAATTAGGGTCGGCTGGTTGGAAGTTATAGAACTTACCTCTGAATTAGGGTCGGCTGGTTGGAATTTATGTAACTTACCTCTGAATTAGGGTTGACTGGTTGGAAGTTATAGAACTTACCTCTGAATTAGGGTTGACTGGTTGGAGGTTATATAACTTACCTCTGAATTAGGGTTGACTGGTTGGAAGTTATATAACTTACCTCTGAATTAGGGTCGGCTGGTTGGAAGTTATATTACTTACCTCTGAATTAGGGTCGGCTGGTTGGAAGTTATATAACTTACCTCTGAATTAGGGTCGGCTGGTTGGAAGTTATGATAAGATAATTGGTGAGTAGGAATATCTTGAGCTATAAATTTAACGAAGTAAGAAATATCAAGTTGAGGATTGACTTGACGACAGATACACAATAAATCATCAAATCTTCTATGTTGTTCATTGGCCTGAAAATACATATGATATACAGTGAAAATATTTTATTATTGTATAATATTTATATAGTATTAAGTTCAATATTTTCAAATACTTAGATATAGTCTTAATTAAATCTGATTGTCCGAAAAGGCAGCATCAACTTGGGATGGTCAAACCCTAATCAAAGAATATCTAGTTTCTAGTTGTAGTCATTTCTATAGACAATCGGATGAAAATTCTTACAGCCTTACAAATAATGATCCTGTGAGATGAGACAGTCTAGGGGAATAACATCTAACTAATACAAAAAAGAGAAAATTCTGATGCAATGCCCACTGCTTTTGGGAACAGTGGCATTCCTTTCATTGATTTCTTAAATGCCTGGTGCTGTGGCCTCTTAGACAAAACTGTGGCCCCTCCACCTATAAATTCATTGGTTGGGAAATGACGTAACACCTGCAGGCTATATAAATAAGATATGAAACTGGGTACCTTGGTAAGTAATAATAAAGCCAGAGATTCTATAGCTACATTTACTGTATTACTGGTATCTATATATATTTCTTCTAATTCCTGAAAAATACAGACATAGGTTTATAATTCTGATATTTCTTTCAGAGATTTCCAGACAAAATTGATTTCAGCTCCAAATATTTTGGAAGCATTTATCTAACTAACAAGACCATTGCCAAAACCAGGTAAAGGAGAGTCTTATTTGGTATGAAATACATTATTGATAAAGGAAAACACTTCTAAAGATTGCCTTGTTTGCCATCAATCCGCTACAGCCTTGCATGGGTCTGGGCACCACATTTCATATATTTGTCCTCTGAGACATATTTGAAATTTCCTATTTTCAGAAAAACATTTTCATATAAGTTTGTATATTACATGGGGACATGAACATGTCTATCAGCTAAATATTGGAAAATTGAGAATTTGTAGTAGAGCCAGAAATAAAACAGCCGTGTTTAGATTGACTTATTGTGACAAATATGAAAATTCAGAGATACATTTTGAACATAGGGTAGGAGTTGCGTCACATTTACAAACATCCAATACAAGTATGTTATAATTTCAGTTAATTCCTTCTAAAACTCACGGAACTGTGTACTTCTCTTGATGATTTAGACAATTGTTTTTGACCAATATCACTGAACCTTTATTCACTGCATGAAAAGCCCTAGATGAGCTGATATGGCCTGCTTGCCCCACTCTCATTCAAAAAGGATTGTCAAATAATATGCTACTAACCTCTAAAACTTGTGGAACTGCTGATTGGAATTCTTCTACTAGTCTATTGGCAGCTCGTAGTTGTAAAACATAATCATTATGAGCTGTATATACATCACATTTAGCCAGATCTTTGACTCCATTACTACTGTCATTGTACGATTTATGTGCTTCACGATAGCAGGACTGAGCCTAGAACAGAGACAAAAAAAACTATATTAAACTGCTGATGCTGGTTAATCAAATATCAATGTTTTTATCTCTTTAAATCAACAAAATATGACAAGAAAGATGTCAGTCCTGAAACTTTCAATCATTCTTTAATATCAACATCACAAAAAGAATTTAGTTTATTTTAAAAAGTTGGTTATCTCCCTTCACTATAGCCAATACTTTCTTATTACAAACCCAAACCTTGGTTCCAAACTTTAAATATTTGTACCTCCTGGGGTACCCAAAAAGCTTCTGAGACAATATCAAGCTCATATAAACATAGGTAATTGAAACATGTCTGGTGGAAGTACTATAACATAGTGCACAACGAACAGGAAATATCAAGAACATGAAAGCTAGGGAACCAAAAGCCAGATAAATCTAGACAACCAATTGTTTGAATTCACGAAAATCGCAACTTGAAAAGATTTAAGTATTCAATTCATCTGATTGGTCTATTTCTATAACCAATGTTGAGGCTGACTTTATCAACCAATCAAATTACTTTATTTCTTAAAATCAGCATTTTATTTTTCTTAAAATTTTGTTAGGGAATTAAATCCAAAAACTAACTTACAACATTGACTTTGGTGTCTGATTTGTGTAAAATTGTTTCAAAATTTTCTCGGAATGAACAGATACGTTGAGCTTGACTTCGTTTATGTTCAGCCACAGCTTCAAGAGGCTGGTAGACATTTTTAATCAGGAGGCTAGCTGCATCTAGATGGGCCTGAAAAAAGACAATACAGCAAAATTAAGGCATTACAAAGATGTCATTAACTCAAAGACATGGATGCCAAAAAGGGACCTAACTTAAAACAAGCCTAGACAAATAAGTAGGAAGTACAGTAAAATTAGACAACTGAAATAAAATCATTCAAGAGCCTCAGAACCTTATAGTCTTTTTCTCAATGTTAAAAGCAACATTGTATTTTAAATAATAATACTCAAGTGGAGGCTATATATTTCAATCTCCATGTAACATCTCAATGGTTTTGCAATCAAAAATTGTATGGATTAGACTACATCATGGATTTTAAACCTTTATTTTGTATTACCCCTTTCAAGATCTTTGATCAATCACATTACCCCCTATAATCTCTACTATTTCATGATTTTCTATCAGGTTTTCCCTGCAATCCTTTCCAGCTGACGGTTGACTTAATATAAGGATTATAATTATCAAATTTCATGCTGGTCTACAAAGAGCCTCATTACCCCCAAAAAACCCAGGACTACATAATAAAACTCAATCCAGTACAATTTCAACCAGATTAGTTTATTTTCCTACCTGTGCATCCATCTCAGAAACATTGAGTAGAGTTTCCCATGCTTTAAATACTGTACTTTCAGTATCTACTGGGCTGAAATATATAAAATATAAAACTAAACTTGTTTTAAATCATACAGTTCTGTACTTTAAATTATAAAACAAAAAAAAACACCATCAAAACCCCAAAAGGAAAACTGAAATCCAAATAGCATATTACAATTACATTGGCAGTACCAGTGGTGGCACCAGCCTCTCGAGACTGGAGGTACAAATAGGGAGCAGATTGACTAAATGGAGAGTCAACTGTCAAGGTTGAGATTCAAAATCTGGCAATTCTGTGGAAGCTCATAGACACAAGCCTCTCATGGAGCATCAGAGAGAGTTCTCTCTCAATAAAGAATCAATTTAATGAATTCTGACACATATTTTGTGACAACAAAATTTCAAAAATCACATTTTTAGGTTTGTCAGAAATGAAGTGGTGGTACAAATGGGTATGCAAACCATTTTTCTAGGGGAGCTAATGCCCCCTCTATATCCCTGCTGTCACTGACAAAAGGAAACATTGTTGAAAACGAGTTTTGATCAATCTACATTTATTCACATGTCTGACTTCAACATAAAGACTTACCGTTCTTTTTTTAATTCATAGTTCCGCCTCCTGAATGATGATATCACAGACTGAATTTCTTTAGAGAAATGTTCGTGGGCGGCGGCCATCTGCTGAGCAAACTCTGCCACTGAAATTACAAAAACAATTCAAAACGTCTGTATGTATGTTTTTTCAGCATGAGATGAGCTCTTTTCAATTATAATGTCCATTAAATGTAAATGCCCTCACACAACAGCAAATTTATTTTTGTCAAGTCAAAATCTGTAAAAGGATACAGACAATTCAGGAGAGATCAATGCCAGGAGATTTGGCCTGGAGATTTGGATCCACTAACAAAATTGTCACCCTTATACAAAATGGATGTTTTTTTTTCATACAACACTTTAAATTTAGTGCAACTTTGTTTAAATAAATAATCAGCATTTGGATTGACAAATAGGTCAAATTTTAATAACATTTCAATAAACCAGGTTCCTCGCTGTTGCAACTCTGGCAACTCGTCATTAAAAGTTATATTTGCTGTCACATTTACAAATATGCCAAAGTGCTACTCCATTAAAGGGCAACAAGCAATTTGAATTGAGTGGAAATTTGAGTCAATAATCACATTTTACTCAACATGTTACTAGAAAGTGATTACTATTTGAATAAACTAAAATCTACAGTGAGATATTTACAATCGTGATGCTTCAGACTCCTTCAACTTTCATTTGATTGGATGTTAATGAAGTTGAAACAGGAAATGAAGAGAAAGTGAAAGTAGAAATAGGAATCATGTGGCGTGAAGTGTTTACCATAGCTAATAACACTACCATCTAGTTAGCACGAGAGACAAAAGTAGAGAAACTTTTCAGGAATTCTCAATTGCCTTTATTCTATTTTAATGGTGTTTTGTCTTCTTTGACAGTGGATGAACCCCCCATCAAATTTTGATAGGTCCCTTCAACCACTTATACTAACTTGTATGCTGTCTCAACATTGTCAAATCTACAAGTATCTATCTAAGAGACATTTCACTTATTCTCAATTCACTTTATTTCATCATAATTTTTAGTTTTGTTCTTCATTGACTTCAAATCTATCTTCCTATTCATGTACCACAAACCCCAAATTTTTATGTATTCTTTGATTCCTTAACATTAAATTCTTGTCTGTTCTCTTATTGATATTGTCCATCAGTGGACTGTAAACTAAAATTTGTGTCCTTTCAACCACTGACATCAACTTGAATGCTATCTCACTATTGGTTGCGATGTTCTATTTTGATTTTTGTTAATCACTTGTATTGTTTTATTGTATTTGACAGCAGTGCTGTTTCAAATTACTATTGAATTTTTTGTACTGATGTTGTCAATTTCCATAATGAATATTGTAAAAATCCAATAAATACTTTACAAAATGTCATTAACAGTGGTGATTTAGTGTATTAAACTACATGCTAGCACTTACAGAGAGAAATATCTATATTATGACAGCTTTGATGTTAACTTTACAAAATATCAAAAGAATTTCTGACTGTAGGGTGCCACATATTTTCTTGTTATTTCCATTAATGTCAGGGAGTGAACCTTGTTTTATGTTCATAACTTTTCTTACAATGGTCTGATTTTCAAATTTTGTCACTATAACAAATTTTGTCACTATAACCATCAGTTTTAACTCTACTCTTGGACTACAGTATATGCATTGTTAAATGACAAACTCCCACTTCAAGCTTGTTTGATTATCAGATATTAAATCCACAAATCAAGGAAGAAAAGGCTATGTGCTTCAAAATATACAAATGAACATAGCTGATAAAAGAACCAAGTGGATTGTCCTACTTTTCTGCTTCTGAGTGGGTTAAAAGCAGATGGCGAGAGAGAACTTTAGCCAGTACAGGCGGATTACTTTTTTACTATTTTCAAGTATTGAAGCATTTCACATTTGTGCAGACTGTAGCACATAGAGCCATGGTTTATATCCCATCCTAATGTCAGCCCCTCTCACCTGCATCATCGAAAGGAGGAAACCTGGCAAAAAATCTTAAGGTACTATCCCAATTTATAATAAAATGTTCTCCAATCAAAAACAACCATTAACTCAAGCACTGTATTATAATCAAATTGCATTAAAACTGGTCTAGTAGTTGAGATGTGTGAGAAATAACAATCACATCAACAGCTCTGGTAAAATCACCAATCTCAACAGGAACAAATCATCAGTATTCTAAACTTAAACTTAAATCTTTCAATTATCACAACTTTTCTTTATTGATCCAAACCATTTTAAAAAATAGTTTACACTGAATGTCAGAGTTTAACAAGAGATTTAAAAGGTCTAATGGAAGTGGTGTTATTTTGTCACTGTCGGAAATGATGATCCAAGTTATTTCCTGGTAATTGAATCAATAGTTCAAATCTCATGTTACTATTGTTCTTTACTTAAAATATCACTGCCTTAAATCATTCTACTCAGTTTTCATATCAAAATAGACAGACAATCCAATTCCTTTGGGATCTTAATCCATTATAGAGCAGCAGAACCAGCCACCCGAGATTGGGGGGTACATATATGGGGCAGACTGACTAAATGGGGAGACAACTGTCAAGGCTGAAATGCGTCAACTCTATGGAGCCTCTGACAGAGTTTTTCTAAAAAATTGTGCAAGTTTGTGAACATCTTTTATCAATTGTTCAACCTAACAATAATACCAATAATTCTTATCTTTATTTCACATCATTGTTTATAACAATATGACAGACACCATTAGAAAAGCCTAATTACCAAGGTTACCTTCTAATTACAAAGGTTACTAATTACCCAGGTTACGTTCTAATTACAAAGGTTACTAATTACCAAGGTTACCTTCTAATTACAAAGGTTACTAATTACCAAGGTTACCTTCTAATTACAAAGGTTACTAATTACCAAGGTTACATTCTAATTACAAAGGTTACTAATTACCCAGGTTACGTTCTAATTACAAAGGTTACATTCCAATTACAAAGGTTACTAATTACCCAGGTTACGTTCTAATTACAAAGGTTACATTCCAATTACAAAGGTTACTAATTACCCAGGTTACGTTCTAATTACAAAGGTTAATGATTACCCAGGTTACTATTACCAACACATGCTGCTGACATGTTTCAGCTGTTTTTTTTTAATGAGAGACACTAAAAATTTTATCCATGTAAGCAAATTAAGAAAACAGGGACAAAAGGTAAGTATTGATGAAATTCTCTATCAGTACGAAAACAGACTGATAAGTTAAAGATACCAGTTCAATCTATACCAGAATCAAAGTCTGGACCCCTGGTATTTCAGCTAAGAGAGCAGGATATTAAGGACAATAAAATTCACAGAAAAAGAGTCAAATTTCTTTATCAGTAGGGACACCTTTGTCAGTAACAAACCCTGGCCACATATTCTCGATACAATATTAGGATGTCCTATCTTTTAACATTGTTTCTAGGACATCCTAGTGCTAAGACTATTTTGAGAATACATAGCCTGGACTTTTAGATTATCAGCTATGAGAACAGAGAAATTAAAACAACCCTCTCTTTAATATATAAGATATTTTAAAACCAACAAAAAATGAGTAAATATTGATAAACCTCTGTATCAGTGTTGATTTTAGAACATCCCGGAGAAAGGAAACCAGAACAACGGCTTCCGTGCTAAAAATTCAATATTTTTAACCAGAGTTGATATTTACTCTAAAGATTTCTAATGGAATTTTTCTTTTGTAGTTAATATCAAAGACTTATGTTTACTTTTCAAAAGTGCTCAACTTTGTGATAATGCTACTTTCTTTCTATAGATTCACTATAAAGCAATTGCACCATTCATATACCTACATCTATCTGGGGCCTAATACGATGTTATTGCATATGCTACAGAATTGTTATTAAATGTGAATCATAATCTTAATTAATTAGCCAAAATTGAACCCTAATTGAACGCTACATATTCAGCTCTGACAGTCAAAGTTTGTTTAAATGAATCTACCACTTAACAAAGTTTCAAAAACACTAGCCCAGATTTTCAACTGTTTATGATATTATCATGTGAGAAGAATAAACCCTTAATTTTTATATTGAAAATACACACAGAAAGTGCAATACTTGAAGTGCAAAGTAAGGGAAATTTGCAACTGCAGAATATAAAAGCTATAAGTAGTGAGATAGAGAAGAAAGTTAGTTTTTACCCTGTGATATTTAGCCGACTATAAAAATGTAAATGATGTGTTTTATACCATAAAAATGAAGAATAGAAATGAAATGAAGTTTTATGTCCTACTTTTCTGCACATGGGTTAATGAAAACGGCAAAGCAATGCTGGGTACAATGAATGAAATTAGCCTACAACTGTCAAGGGATCTTTAAATTTCAAAGCCTGTAGCACACTCGGCCTTGGTTTATTGTCCCATCCCAAAGACTTCACACTTTTTCCATGTCAGCCTGCATCACTGACAGGGGGAAACTGGGTTGAAAAATCTGAAGGTATTATCACGACCTATGGAGAGATTGAACCCTGGACCTTCAGATTAGTGGGCTAGCGTCTAACTCACTGAGTCACCGCAGCTCCCAAAAATGAAGACAGAACTCCACATAGTGTGCAATGAGGTAATTTCAGACAGCAGAATAATATCAGTAGAAGTAGTGATAAGTGAAGTTATTTTTTACCCTGTGATATTTAGCTGAGTATAATAAAGTAAAAGATAATTATGTGTTTTATTCCTGATAATAGTCCGTAATAAACCACGATTACATCAAATTAATCATCTAAAACCATCAACTCGACTTAATACCTCATTATATTTCTATAAATACAAGATTTAACATCATATAACACAACAAAAAACTTGATCTTATTAGATACAATCTGTATCAACATTGTTATAACATGTTTTAATTACGTAAACAATCTTTTTATATCATTACTTCAAAATGAAATGGATTTTTATAACTCATTTTTTTTAGCCTTAATGAAGACTTTCTGATGTCATTTAGTGTACAATTCAATCATTTTTATCAAAATATATGGATTGAATATTTGCTGATCAATTTTTCTACCCTTTTACTGCTAATGAAGACAGGCAATGTCATGTAGTTTGGGAAGAAGACAATTTAACAAA